GCTTTAACAACTACCATGAGTAGGTTTTAAACGAAGAAGTGTTATAGGTACTTCGTTTTTTATTTGTGTTCCATATTCAAGTACACGTACTAGCGTTTCATCACCTTTATATTACGGAATATTATCTACGGTCCTTTGATCACGCCATCCAGGCCCATCTTGGTGCCAAGATGTTACTGAAGATATTGAAATACTTGATAATGATACTTTCTTTGACTAGAACGCAAATGTAAACACATGCACTATTAGATTCATTTTAATGAACATATTTTGTATCGATTTCTGTTATACGCCGTCGCCTCTCTCTGTCTTTTTTACAAATACTTTCATGGAAATCGCTCCGATGAGCTGCTTCCGCTGGTTCCCAGACTTCATGAATTAAAGCGTCCTACGAGGCTGGCATCCCGCTCTCACCCTTTCACTGTTGAAACTGTTAAATGTAGCCGTCTCTTCTACTCCAATAGCTTCATATTTCGCACCACTCACCTGTGGAACTCCCTTCCATTCACCTGTTTCCATGATAGCTATAATCTTCAACTATTCAAATGTAATGTCAATCGACATCTCCAGTTCCCTTGATCTATTCACTATCCTTCTCCTCATTCTTTCCTTTATCACTCCTATCTGATCTTGCTCCAAATCTTCTGTACCCCCTTGCGTACTAGTGGCTTCTCGCCTTGCTTGGGGTGAATCGATTAATATATATATATATATATATATATAAAATATGTGTGTGTGTGTGTGTGTGTGTGTGTGTGTGTGTGTGTGTGTGTGTGTTTGAAATACGCTCATTTGTCACCTTCCTATGCGTGGGTAGACCTTGATTTACAAAGATAAGCTTCATGAATTTGAAATTAAAGGGGAGAAAAAGAAAGAAATACCCTTCACGTTTTAATATTGATTTTTTGATCTCTTCCATCAAAAAAATCGATTATATTTCCTAATGTCAAAATATAGAATTGCAGATAGAAGAATCAGAAGAAAATTGGGAGATAAGAAAGAGATTTTGAAAGCAAGAAACCAAGGTAGAAAGAAACAGAAACAAGAAAGAAAGAAAGAAAGAAAGAAAGAAAGAAAGAAAAGAAAAAAAAAGAAAAAAAAAGACACATATAACAAACAGGTAAAGGGGGCGCATTAGTAGAAAAATCGACCAAAGAAAAGAGCAGTCGCCTGTTTTGTTCATTTCCCGCCTTCTTCAGCGCCATATTAAAAAAAAAACAAACATTTACTTTTCCCTTTCACTTTATGAATCTATCAACATGATTCCTAGAATTTGTAAGGCCGTTATTGTCATGGCTTAAAATCCGAAATGAAAAAGTTGTTTATGTAGCTCTATTATTCCCCTCTCTCTATCTGCATATATATATATTTAAATCAATATCTCTCTCTCTTTGACCTCTCTCTCTCTCTCTCTCTATATATATATATATATATATATATATATATACAGATTTAATATATATATATATATATATATATATATAAATATATGTTGTAGTGGTTCAACGTATATTAAAAAAAAATTGCCCGCAAACGTTGGTTGTAATGTGGATTTATTGAGAAAAAATATTATACTTTGTTTTAAATTATGTAAAACAAAGTCTTCATAATAATATTTTTTCTGTTTGTGTGTTGGCAATCCGAATTTTCTTTCTAGAATTCTAGAATGTCTCATATAAATCATGAAGAAAAATTACATTTTTACAACTCCAAAAAGACGTTTGCAGACCAGAAACACGTGTCGTGAAATTATGTAAAAAACAAGTATAATATTTTTTCTCAATTTTTTTTTGCATATATATATATATATATATATATATATATATATATATATATATATATATATATATATATGCAAATATGTAGAAAAAATAGGAACGAACACGTTAGGCAAATAATCCGGGGTTCTTTAGTATTTTTGTTTATATTTTTAAAAAACAGTGTTCCATACAGATGTAGAGCTTAGATTATAATTATTTTTTATTTTTTAAATCATATTTTTCTCTCTCTCTCTCTCTCTCTTTCTCTCTCTCTCTCTCTCTCCTCTGCCAGTTGGCTTATGACTCGTCTTAACTTCATGGTTTAGTACAATTTATTCCTATACAATTTGTTTTTTCTCTTTTATTTTATTGCTTTTAAACTACATTTCTTGTTTATTCACACGTTTCTGCATTTAAGAAACCCACAAATACAAAAAGCGTGGTGAGTTTTAGAAAAATAATGATTGATTTTTTTAGAGGCCTGGAACAGACTGTAATATTCCCATTATTTTCATTCAGGAAAATTAATTTGAGATACGAATGTTTTCAGTTATGATCTTGGTATTTAAACGAATTAAACTTGTCACCCAAGTCATTACTGCACAGGAAAAACATCGATAAAAAACAAAGGAATCGACCATAGTCAGAATCAGTGAGTCAATGCGAAATATCCTTTCCTTAACTGCAGTATGTGTTGCACCAAGCCTTCATACAGTTTTGAATTCAGAGTTTTCCTTCCACCCAAGAATATAGAATCCAGGCTGTCCTATTTAACTATAGCTGGTTGGAGAAGTTTTACTTCTTTTCTTACTAGCTTTATTTTTCTTTCATATAATCTTGTTTTTCAATCCTTTTCTTTCTTTCTTTCTTTCTTTCTTTCTTTCTTTCTTTAATCAATTCATTTTGAAATTTCTTTTTTCCTTCCTCCTCTTCTTTATTTGTTGTTATGTTCCGACAATCCTCATCGGAACTGTTATAATCCGTGCTAAGGTTTACTGTACACAACTAGTACAATATGAAATACGGTACAGTTATACACATAGGTCAATCTAGTAGTGAGTGCCACTAATTGGAAGGTTGGACGTGCTTGGGTCTTCACTCTCTCACTGTCCACCAGTCTCTCGTAGACAGTTGACTTTATAGGTACTTACTACCTATAATGTAATCATCCATGGTGGGCCGGGTTATTCCATTACATGACTTATAATGAAATGTTATGTAATATCAGCCCCCTCCTATATGGCAATGAATGCCAAAAATCTATATCTATGAAACAGAAGATGTCTCTGTGTGTGTGTGTGTCAGTCTGTCTGTGTGTGCATGCTATTTAAGCACGTTCACATTTCTCGACCGATTTCGATGAAACTGTACACATATTTTGAAAATTTACCAAGGTAGCTCAAGACCAACTTTTCAATCTCCATCTCTCCCCCCTCCCTGGGTTTGGCAAAAAAAAAAAAAAATGATAAAACTGAAGATGGTTTGCAAAATCCAAGACAATGTTACACGCGAACAAAATTTTAACTCGATGAGCTGATGTTCTTTTTAATGCAAAACATTAGCTCATTTTACGGGGTTTATGTAGAGTACTTGATAGTTTTCTTGGGACTTTGGCTTCACAAAAAGAAAAATCTGTGAAAAAATCGGGTTTTTCGTACTGCTTAAAATACAAACTTAAATAGCTTCCTCATTTCTTTGCCGATTTTCTTCAAACACGTCACAAAAAATTTGCCAACATGCAAGAAATAAGACCGACTTACTTCCACGCGTATAACGAAAAACCACGAAAATCTTTTCAAAAAACCCGTTTTTCGGCCATAACTTCTTGGTTTTTCATCAGATGCTTTCCAAATATGCCATGTAAATTACATGACATACAAATTGCCTTGCGTGAAAGTTTGATTTAGATTATTTCAGTTAAGTGCACGAAATCTGCCACAATCTAGGTACCAAATCGGCTTTTGTCATTGAGCCAATATTTTCTTCATATGATTCCATCCTAAATTAGCATTCGAAAAATCTTTGATGCAAAGATTGTTTGAGAGGATTATTGAAGCGTTAAAAGGGAAAAATTCCTGAAGAACCTCGTATTAACCCCCAGCTTCACAGTACACGTGCGAAGAAGGAAGTGGGCGTTTATGTGTTTGCCCTTGCAGTTGAATCAAGCTCTGACGCTTTATCCCAGTTTTTGTTTCATTATTAGATTTGGGAACAATGTCATATTATTTGAAGGTTATTACGGTCATAGGAAATTTACTGAATGTCTAAAACATTGAAACAATTTAACCCCGAGAAATATTTTAGAATTGTACTCTACTTATCGGCCCTTGGCGTTTTCTTGTTATGGTAATTAGCTCCCTTACTAGCATTCTTCAGTTGACGAATTGCTTAGTCAGAGAAAGTTTCATTAAATAAATCCTTGTTAAAGAATACCGGTCTTGTCAGCTCATTTCACGAACCAACAAATATTAAAGCCTATTTTTTCTTTTAATGTGAAATGATTTCTCAAAGAGTAATGTTTGTTTTAAAAATGTCTAAAACATTGAAACAATTTAACCCCGAGTAACGACCACACAAGCAGGTTTTATCGATGGAATTCCTTTAAGGGAACAATCAAACAATTGCGAAGGACATACCGTAAAAAAATGATGAGATGGGGGTGTAGCTTAGTATACAAACGGATGATGCATGCGAGCGGAAACCAGGAAGACATTTCTAGGCAGAGGTGACATGGAGGGTGTATTTATACAATTGCTGCCACGCCGGGTACCTCGGCTATTAAAATATAAATTAAAAACTTTTAAAATGACTACTTTCAGTTATTTTAAAATTTGAATTTTTAATGATCCCTCCTCATTCGGCCCCAAATCCCAATACTGGATGTTCAAGTACCATATGAAGGGCAGATTTTCAGTTCTGGGATCCTCCTGATTCCAAAAAGTATAATATGTCTATGTAGAACAAATGTAACCCGAGTTAGAGAGATTTCAGGCACAAAGACCGACAAAAAGAATTTACCGTTTATTTATTTCGAAGATTTTTCTTGTCTCTCATTCCTTTTCTTTTTTGTGCTTTTCTTTCTTTCGTTTTTTTTTCATTCATTTCTTTCTTTTGTTTTTTGTTACTTGCTTTTCTTTCTCCAGTCATACTATCGTAACTCATTTTCTTTTTATACTTCCAAAGATTTTAGAAGCATAAAACCTTTTAATCTTTATTCTTTTGTTGAGTTTTGTCCTTCAAATGTCACGCATTACAATCTTATCCACTTCTTTACTTACATACTTTTCTTTCTTTCTTTCTTTCTTTCTTTCTTTCTTTCTTTCTTTCTTTTCTTTCTTTCTTTCCACTCCCTCCCACCCCGTCTCTTCCTTCATTCCTTATGTCCTTCCTTCCGTTTTTCTTTATCGTCTTTTATTCTTTCTTCCTTCCTTAGATTCCTTCCTTTTTTGTTTCATTCCCTCTCTTCTTTCTTCCTCTACCTCCTTCATTTTCTCTTTCCTCCTTACATCTTTTTTCTTTATTTCTTTTTTCGTTCTTTCTCTCTTTCTTATTTCTTTCATTCTTTCTTTTTCTTTTTCTGCCTGTCTTTCTTTCTTTCTTTCTTTCTTTCTTTCTTTCTTTCTTTCTCGTTTAATTCATTCTTTCTTTACTTCCTTGTTTTCTTTTTTCATCCCACCCCGTCTCTTCCTTCCTTCCGTTTTACTTTATCTTCTTTCATTCTTTCTTCTTGACATTCTTTCCTTTTCGCTTCCTTCCCTCTCTTCTTTCTTACTCCTTCTTCAACCTTCTTCGTTTTCTCTTTCTTTTTTTTCCCTTTTCAGGTTCTCACTAAATCCATTGGTCAAGAGAATGTGAAGTAATGAGAAATGACAATCTCTTTTTTAACAAGAAAAACATAAGCATAAAAAAAAATGTCTAAAGTTCGATCTTGGCAGAAAAATGATCACATCGACAGATGACACCCATATCCCTGTGAAAACGAAAGAGAAAGAGAGAGAGACAGACAGACAGAGAGAGAGAGGGGGGAAGGAGAGAGGGAGAGGGAGGGAGAGAGGGAGGGAAGGAGAGAGAAACGGGCTGAGTGAGAAAGAGAATAAAACTAAAATCACAATTCAAGGCGACAGGCCACAGAAAACTCTAAAATAGTTCCATTCCCATCCCACCATCCACGGCTAGAAATTCTTTCGGGTTCCTTCCAAAATTTCCGAGTTTTCTTGAAAGAATGCGCTAAAACTTATTCAGAAGTAGACATTTACAAATTCACTTAGCTCCTGATTTCTATGCGTGACGAAATTGTCATTGCCTTTACTTTGCAACGTTTTGCAGATGAGAAGCTCTTCGAAGCACATTCACTGTATTTTCTTTCTCTTGGTAATTTTTCCTGGTCTGAGGACAATGGATATCTTTCTTTGACTCTTTTTTTAAAGTATTCAAGAATTTTGGTTAAAAGGTACCTTCATTTTCTTTTGGATTTTGTACTTTTAAAACTTGATAAAACCTGACATCTATCTATCTATCTATCTATCTATCTATCTATCTATCTATCTATCTATCTATCTATCTATCTCTATTAATATCTATCTCAGCCTATTAATATCTATCTCAGACCATTCATATCTATCTATCTATCTATTTATCTATCTATCTGCACTAGTCTATATGGATCTGGATCTATCTCTCTATCCCAGTCTTTTCATATCTATCTATCTATCTATCTATCTATCTATCTATCTATCTATCTATCGCTATTAATATCTATCTCAGCCTATTAATATCTATCTCAGATCATTCATATCTATCTATCTATCTATCTATCTATGGCTATTAATATCTATCTCAGCCTATTAATATCTCAGACCATTCATATCTATCTATCTATCTATCTATCTATCTATCTATCTATCTATCTATCTATCTATGGCTATTAATATTTATCTCATCCTATTAATATATATCTCAGATCATTCATATCTATCTATCTATCTATCTATCTATCTATCTATCTATCTATCTATGGCTATTAATATCTATCTCATCCTATTAATATATATCTCAGATCATTCATATCTATCTATCTATCTATCTATCTATCTATCTATCGCTATTAATATCTATCTCAGCCTATTAATATCTATCTCAGATCATTCATATCTCTCCATCTATCTATCTATCTATCTATCTATCTATCTATCTATCTATCTATCTATCTATCTATCTAACCTCGTCCGGACATTATCTATCTATCTATCTATCTATCTATCTATCTATCTATCTATCTATCTATCTATCTATCTATCTGCACTAATCTATATGGATCTGAATCTATCTCTCTATCCCAGTCTTTTCATATCTATCTATCGCTATTAATATCTATCTCAGACCATTCATATCTATCTATCTATCTATCTATCTATCTATCTATCTATCTATCTATCTATCTATCTATCTATCTCTATTAATATCTATCTCAGCCTATTAATATCTATCTCAGACCATTCATATCTATCTATCTATCTATTTATCTATCTATCTGCACTAGTCTATATGGATCTGGATCTATCTCTCTATCCCAGTCTTTTCATATCTATCTATCTATCTATCTATCTATCTATCTATCTATCTATCTATCTATCTATCTATCTATCTATCTATCTATCTATCGCTATTAATATCTATCTCAGCCTATTAATATCTATCTCAGATCATTCATATCTATCTATCTATCTATCTATCTATGGCTATTAATATCTATCTCAGCCTATTAATATCTCAGACCATTCATATCTATCTATCTATCTATCTATCTATCTATCTATCTATCTATCTATGGCTATTAATATTTATCTCATCCTATTAATATATATCTCAGATCATTCATATCTATCTATCTATCTATCTATCTATCTATCTATCTATCTATCTATCTATGGCTATTAATATCTATCTCATCCTATTAATATATATCTCAGATCATTCATATCTATCTATCTATCTATCTATCTATCTATCTATCTATCTATCTATCTATCTATCTATCGCTATTAATATCTATCTCAGCCTATTAATATCTATCTCAGATCATTCATATCTCTCCATCTATCTATCTATCTATCTATCTATCTATCTATCTATCTATCTATCTATCTATCTATCTATCTATCTAACCTCGTCCGGACATTATCTATCTATCTATCTATCTATCTATCTATCTATCTATCTATCTATCTATCTGCACTAATCTATATGGATCTGAATCTATCTCTCTATCCCAGTCTTTTCATATCTATCTATCGCTATTAATATCTATCTCAGACCATTCATATCTATCTATCTATCTATCTATCTATCTATCTATCTATCTATCTATCTCAGTCTCTTCATGTCTCGATGCGAACTTCTGCCAATTGCATTGAACCAGAGTATATAAATGTTATTGCCTCACCCACCAATTTGTAGCAAAAAGCGTATTTTGAAAAAAAGTGCGTCTTCAAAAAACAAAGGATTTTGAAAAAGTGCATCTACTAAAATATATTTTGAAAAAGTGCGTCTGCAAAAAATGTATTTTTGAAAAAGTGTGCCGGCAAAGCATAAATTTTGGAATTTATGCATCGAACGATCTTTTCGGGGGAAGAATGTTCGAATCATAAGTTCAATCTTTGTTCTTTCCTGATCAAAAAATCTCCCATGAACCCCAATTCTATTCTAGACCTTTTGAGGAACTTAAACCTCAAAAGCATCCAAACACACTACTCAGGGTTGATTTAGATGAATGAGAGTCAAGCTTATAAACTTGCCAAGACAAACTACAGATCTGAATCCCCAGAAAAAAATCAATCTTGAGAGCTGAACACAGTAGAGCAACATAAAATTTTAAAGAAATTAAATAATTTTTCGGCGCTACAAATTTAAACAGAATCCAAAAATTAATAACTTTTATGGCATAATTTTTATTAGTTGATTTATGATAGACACATAGTTTTAGTTCATTATTTGTACAGTATAACATATTGAAGAAAGGTCATTTGTTTTTGTTTCTGCTTCATAAGCAAAGTCCATCATATATTCGATTTTTTTTACTTTATTTAAAAATCAAGTAAAATATTGTTTCATTGACAAAGTATCATCAATGTATCAAAAATATTTTGATTGTTTAGGTAAAATATATTAGAAAATGTCACTTTCAAAAAATTCTAAGAACGTACAAACTAAAATTCCGCTAAGAGGCGATCCCATCAATAGCTCTAAGTTTTGCTTATAAAAATCATTTTAGAATTCTACTATACTTATCTGCCCTTGGCGGTTTTTGTTATGGTAATTACCTCCCTTACTAGCATTCTTCAGTTGACGAATTGCTTAGTCAGGAAAAGTTTCATTAAATAAATCATTGTTAAAGAATACCGGTCTTGTCAGCTCATTTCACGAACCAACAAATATTAAAGCCTATTTTTTTTTTTAATGTGAAATGATTTCTCAAAGAAAGTTTTTTTTTTTTTTTAAATTTTACTGCCGAAGACTAGAAGAATGGTCAGTCCCTTGCACCGGTCCAGAAAGTGTATGGCTCCTACTACTATACTCCATCTTTACAAGTGTCAGTTCGGACCAAAAATGTAGTATTGTTGTCATATCTGAGATGGGGTTGCCCACTTTTCCCAGTCCAGTATTGTCAGATTAAAAAGAAAAAAAAAGATTACCCTACCTTGCGGGTGATGAATTAATTTCCTACCGGTAAAGCGTTTCCCGTATAAAAATATATTGAAATGAGTAATCTGGAATGGTTAATTGAAGCTAATATGGTGATTTGCTAAGAGAAATTAGATGTGACACAAGTTTGAATGTCTAGAGCACCCAATGAGGATTGACTGTGCGTTAGTAAGTGACCTAGCGATACTAGTAATATATGAAAAAAAAAAACAAAAAAAAAAAACTCCAGATTACGAAATTCAATTTTTTTAAAAATTTCTACATATTAAGAAATCATGTCGTATGAGCTTATTTTTGGGGGAGTGATCAGTTTATAATAACTTTTTCATAGCAAATTGGACCCCCTATTCATTATTATAATATTTAAAAAATATATTAATTATTCTTGATCTGGAGTATTTCTGGTCGAAGTTCTTATTGGACAACGTCATCGTTGATTTAGTTATTTGCGAATAATAGTAAACGCATTTGCATTCCATTTTGATATAAAGTTGGTGGAGCAATAAACAGCCAATCCAAACATTCACTCGTAATTAATCTTAATTGACAGTAGAAAGCCCATTCGTTAATGAAGATATCTATGATGAGGAGACCCTGACACAGTAAATTAACGATTATCCAGCAATTTATTAAAGAGGGTCCTTAATTAACTTCCGGCAAAGACGCTAACATTATGAGTATCCCAATAGATTCACCCACGCATTTAAAACTTACAGAGGAGATGTAGGTAAGAGGAAAGACGTGGGCGACCATAGCACTCCCAAATTTCTTATCTTTTGCAAATCATTTCACCAGCCTTCTCATCTCTGTTCTGCCATCCATTTACACAAATTCGTTAGGTTACTTACTCACTTTGTTTTCTTATGACATTTTCCTATCGCTTAATACATTGCTTAGTTTCTGGAAGGCACCTTTCACTGCTTGTATATGTCTTCAAATTTCTGTTTCAAATTTGCCATCGCCTGTTACTACGATAACGGATAGAATTAATTTCTATCCATGGAGTATTTTGACGTTCCCATTATGTAAATCGCATTTTGGTTGTCTCTTTTGATAACAACCATGCCTAGTCTACAAAATGTTACTTTGTATTAAATATTTGTAAAATGTATGATTGAAATTGCTTACGGGAAGGTTTCATTCACGTAGACCGG